GGATTTCGGGTTGGAATAATTCTATATCTATAATGTTTATGAATTGATGTTTTTGTTTTCTTTCGTCGCACGGATCAACCCTAGCTTTTATATATATATACTGCAGAATTTTAATAATAAAATTTGACATTATTCCTTAAATGTTCAATATAAATTTATTTTTGGAATTTTTCGAACGAATATAACATCCTTTGATCCGTTGTAATCCCGAAGGGAAATTTACCTTATCATAAAATAATAAAATAAACTTTTATGTGAAAATGGATCTTATATATATTTATCGCATTTTTTTATTAATACAAAATAGTTAATTTTGGTTAGAAATTGTCATTTAATTTTGTTAGTTTTGACGAATCGTTGCTTAAGTATATAAAACCCGCCTTTAAAAGCATAACCGTCATTTCTAAAGTATTTTAAACCCGCGTTTTAAAACATAACCGTTTATTGTATCCGTCTTACAAAAAGAAACATTCATTTTTATCATCTTTCATCTCCAAATTAAATAAAAACAATGAATGTCTCCATGTAATAGAGTTTTTGAACTTCAGAAGACAAACAGCAGGCAACATATTTGTGTCCAAGTAGTTAGAAATTATTATGATTTTACTCTCATTGGTTTCCCTAATCGGATGTTAGTTCTCGCTGATGAATTTGTAAGTTTATAAGATTTTAAAAGATTATCCCTGTTCATGTTTTGGGAATGTAATCGTTTATTGATTCTTTTTTACTAAAACTGTGTAGGACAATCGCATCATGTGTACCATGCCATTTGAAATACTTGACAAATTCGAGTATGTGTTGCTCGAAGGAGAGTGGTATTTTCTTGGTAATTTTGCAGTTACCGACAGATTACCACATCCAAGTATATCATCAAACAACTGTCATATACGTATCAACGAGGATACAATCACTGAGAAAACCGATCTGAAGTCTTCCAGAGAAATATACTCTTTCTGTCCATTCATAGATATTTTGCTTGCGTCGATTCAAACAGACCAATATCTTGGTAAGTTTCTTACATGCATGTTATTATCTTGGTTTATCTCATTAACTGAGAAATGAATTTTTCTAACTTAGTTGTTTAATTTTGCAGTTGATCTTCTCGGGATTGTCACTTTTGTTCAGAAACTTCAAAGAGGAGTTCATATGTCCGATACATCGGATACACCCACAGAACGTCCACTTATTCGTTTTGTACTCGAAGATCTCGGGTAAGTACAACTTATCCTCAGAATATTTGGTGTCAGACTTGGATTTCTTGATATATTAAAATATGTTAATTATCTTCTATGTTGGTGTAAATATATACAGTGGAAATTCCTTGAAATGTATTGCTTGGGATAACTTGGCAATAAAATTTGAAGAACTTTGGACGAATCGTGATAGGTCTTCAAGGCATATTATTGTATTGCGATTTTTCTCTTTCAATAGGTGGAGAGGTACGTAAATATTAACTATTAATATCTACTCAATACAGCAATTAATCAGAAGTTTAACAAATTTATTGTTTCCACATGCATACTGAATATGTATATGTAATTAGATGAGTGGATAGTTGAATCGGAAAGATTCATATCTGATATTCTCGAAGATCCTCCTACTCCAGAAGTGGCAACAGCAAAGATGAGGTATGTAAATTCCATCTTTGATGTTATATCCTGTATATGTATTCTATTGACATCTATTTTATGATTTTATAATATTGTCATATTGTTCCAGACTTGAAACTTCAGATGATTTTACCCCTTTGGATGATGGATATGAAGATCAGTATCCGTAGGAGATATTAAATGTTTATTTCGTTTTTTATAGGTTGTGTACTTGAACAACATAGCTATTTTTTATTTTTATTGTAATAAATAAATTATTCAATATCTATAAACTTCACCTGTTTCGCAAAGCATCTCATTTTAGCGTATTGTTTTTAATTTACAAAGAGTGTCACTTTTTGTTTTCAATGCAAAATTGTGTTCGTAGTCCATTGATACCGTTGTTGATTTAAAAGAATTATAATATTTTACTAGGAAAATAAATATGCATATATATAATAAACATATATTTTAGAAATTGAAGAAAGTAAGGTATACGAAAAGAATAATATGAGGAGAGTTTTGATATAGTACCATCGTTTATTGAGTCAAATGATGAAAACATAAATAAAAAGAAAACCAAACATACGAAAAAAAAATATTCAAAAACTTAATATAACACCATCGTCTGATTCTGTGATTGTGGTCCGCATTCTCTCGACTTCGTGTATGTTAGGGTTTAATAAAATTTCGGTACAATCGTATGCAGTTATCGCTGCCCAACCATGTGCAAATTTGAACAGTTGCACGAAACGTATAACACAAATGTTAATTTTGTGTTCTTTCCGTGATAAAGCAGTCATCAGGTCCAGTGCATAGTCGTTCCGTAATAACACTTGCAATCTAGCATCTCTGTTGGGCATATAATAATCATATAATATAGTAAAAATTGATAATTACAGTGATTGCAATTGAGAAACATATTTTAAAAACTTACGATTCGTTACGGATTTCCACGTAAACATTACCCCACTTTCTTTGGCTCTTGGAGGATTTGTGACTAAATGTTCCAATCACTGCGACGTATCCAATTATATCTAAAAAAAGATTAGTTAGTCATTGAGAAAGTTTATAGATATAAAATAGCATATATTTTTTGTTATTATTTATTAATTTATCTAAAGTCATACCAACGAAAAACAATGGGTCTCGGAGATTGTTGTGTATGTTACCAAATTCAACAATACTTAGGTAGTTGTTGTTATCATAGAAAGGGATCTTTGAAAAATAAGTTTGAGAATTCCATATTACTTTATAATTGTGCAACGTCGGCCTCAAGTCTCCGATGACAGGGACTACACAAAAACGGTACAGAATAACTGAATCTCCTTGCTTCACTTCTGATGTAAAACTGTCTATAAACCCTTTTGATATTGATCCATGTATTTTATCACCCTATAAAAACAAAAATATGTATATCAGACAAGTGATATGCACGGAAAATACAGAGTCACTGGAATACCTTTTTATCAACGAACACCAAATCTAAAGTGTTATCAGGTTCACCGATGTGCTCGAAAATACGCAGTATTTTCACACGAATACGGCGTAGTTGATTTGATGGAGTTATATCGGAGACATTGGTGTAAGTCATGTTTTTCATTGCTAAAAGACAAGCAGCGATCAACATGATGTAGTGCCTATAAAACCTAAAAAGTAGTCGTCATATATAACTCGGTAATGCTAATACATCGTTTTTATATATAACGATGCAAACGGCTCACCTCTGATATATTCCTAATACAAATTGGAAAATTGTTATAATTATAATAATATATTATAATAGATCCCTAATACAAATCAGAAACGGTATCCCTGTGATCATGATAAATTTTCTATCAAAGTCGTATGTTATCCTAAAAATGTAAATAACCATTAAGGTATCTCAAAAATGTAAAATATTTGATATATCCTTTTATTTTAAATTTTATAAATAAGAAACAAAAGTTTGGTTTAAATATTGTCTCTGCTATGTGTATTTAAGTTACCTTTGGACGTAATCGTTGTAATTGTTTTGAGGCTCTGGGTTTGCGTTTAACCTAAATGACTTATTTACTATCTATCACCGCCGTATATAAAAAATATGATCAAAATCTGTTTGGAATTTCCGAACTTGATCCTACCAAGCTGATGAGGACACTAGCTCGGAGCAACCCCAAGACTTGAAGATTCCTACCATGTATGAGCCACCAAGGACTAGATCAGGCACGAGAAACATGAAGGAAGGGTTCAATGAAGCTGTGGAGGCTCTAATGATGCAAGAAGGACATAAAGAACTCACCAAGACAATGGAGCAACTCAAGATTACAAGCCAAGAAGAATATGCCGTGGACGTGAAGGCACCAAGCCCAAGTTTAGACGAGGAAACGTGGCCGCTGCTAAAGACCCACCTTGGCCCAACATTGCTCGTCATTTCTCAAGTTCAAGACAAAGACAACCCGTCTTCGAACCACCTCTAAAGCAATGTGAGTCTTTAAATTTGAATTCATTAACAAAGTTTCCTTTTCTTGTTTTGCAGGTTTTATCGTTAGGTCCTTTAGTTAATTTTCCTTTTTAGATTGTTCTTAGGGTTATCGAATTGTTCTCTTTACTTTTCACAGAGTCTGTTGCGTTTTGAGCTTTCCTTTTTTTGATTTGTCGACCCTAGAAGGTCACAGCACAGCTGACGGACTATTTATAAAGTCCCATATGCAGCTTTGTAGTCTCACGTTTTTACCTATTATCAATAAAGAGAGTATTTTCTTCTTTAGCAAAACCCTAGAGCTACAAAGACTCGTGCGGCTGCCCCTTGTCCTTTGTGTTCTTCCGACTTATCAAAGCTAGATCATAAGCTTTGTGGCGTCCTTTGATCCACTGGTTACTATTGTCCCGAGTTCGTTCATCGGATTTAAACAAAGAGAGCCTTGAGTCCAATTGTTTAAGTCACTATCTTCCCCTCACTTCATTCATTTCTTGTCCGAGTAGAGAGAGCCTTGAGGCCAGCTACAAGGATCCAACTCACACTACACCCAATCTTATATCATTTTGGTATCAGAGCCGAAAGGTTCTGCGTCAGGTGATATTTATCTGATCTATTCCCTTCTTTTCATTTTGTGTTTAAGTCTCTTTGATTTGTTTTTAAGTTGAGCAGTTATCATGTCAAAAAAAAAAAGAATAGAATACACTCGCATCTAGTTTTCTTAGCTTACCTTTTGCATTTAAGACCAAAGAAAAGTCATAAAAACATATTGTGCAACTAGCTATTTAGTCGAACTCATTTGTTATTGCATCTAAATTCAAAAAAAAAAAAAACATATCTATATACCACGTCTTCTATAGTTTTGAGCATTGCATTAAGTTTCGCCAAGTTAGATAGTTTAAACATCCTCAGTTGCGTGTGATCTAGTGTTGTTTCTGTTGAGTTATAGCATCATGGAGGAACAAGCTGTACCGGCCCAAGACACTATCTTGCAAGCCATTGCGGCAATGCGACAAGACATGGCCACTCAACTAGGCTGTATGGAGGAGAGGGTTGGACGGTTGGAGGTACCGAGGCGAGAGGCCGCAAGGCCAATTCAAGTGCCACCACCACAACCACAACAAGGCCAAGGAGATGAGAACATGGCTGAAGAGGAAGGAGATGCGAACAACAATCAAAGGAAACAAGACCCTCCTGACTTAAGAGCACACCAACGGCTCCGAGACCCTGTCAACCGCGGCCGAATCAGAGACGACGAAGGTAATAGACAGGGAAACATGGATATCAAGCTAACGGCTCCTACTTGTGCAGGAAAGGTGGACCCCGATGCTTACCTTGAATGGGAAAGACGCATGGAATACATCTTTGAGTACTACGGTTATAATGGGGGATTGGAAGGTATAACACATCAATTTCATGATTATATTTTAGTTTTTGTAATGATAAATGTCTAAATGTTTGATTCCATACTTCTCAGGGACAGAAGATTTATGTAACTGCACCGATTGAATTTTATGATAAGTATTCGAGGATATGTAGCGAGGGAGATTGGGTTCTTCTAATAAATTTTAATCTATTGCCCTTACTGGTGAATTTAAGCCAAGTACACATCCTTATATGATCCAACTTACCAGTGATACAACATGTGCAAGCTCTTATACTTTAGATATCCATGGTTATTTTTCGTTCGTTGTTTTGGAAGATATTATGAATGGGACTATTGATTTTTAACTACTGTGTGGGTGAGTATTCTGTATATTTTTCATTACCGATTTGTCATACAATTACTATATTGATTATTTGATATTCATTTTTTTCAAACAATTTTAATCGGTAAGGTTGTCAACGTTGGAAACTCTCACGATAGAATTGGATCCTTAGGATACTCTAGACAGCCTATAATAAGATTCGATCTTGAAAACGAAAGGTAATCTATTTTATGTTAATAGAATTTCAAAAACGAATTTTTAAGTTTAACTCAGACTGATATTTGTTTGATGGGAAACTTTAGGAACCGACGTTTATCATGTTTTTTGAAAGGTGATTATGCTGAAACTTTTATTCGTGAGTTGGGTGGATGTAAACAAGATGTCATTATTTGCATCATTCGTTTTGCGAAGATAATTGTTCGACGAGGTATTTTTTTTTTATATGAGATGGTTGTAAAGTATATGCGATAAATATGATTTGATTTTCGTTTGTTCGATAATACAGGGTGTTTCTTGGCAACTACGTCGTATGATTGCACACAAGTTATTCTAAATTCGCTATGCTTCGAGGTCTATCAGTTTCGAGAGTTGATATCCAGTCGTTAGACCCTGATGTTACGAGTTCCGAGCTAATGTTTTTGGAATTATTTTATATCAATTTTTATTTTTAGGTTTTGTGGTTTGTGTTAAACATCGTATATGATTTGAATAAAATTTGACTTTTGATGCAGTGTATGAAAATAAGATTTTTTAATTATTATTTTCATGTATGGATTTCGATGTTCATAGTTATCCCCAAAACGCCTGCATAACGAATTGTAGTATAATTGTTCACGAAAAAAAAATATGTGATATAATTTATTGAGATGATATGTTAAATAACCATAATTTTGGGAGAATATTCAATTTCTAAGAAATATAACGATAGTCTTTTCAGTTGTCGTAAAAACATTAGGATAATATATTTGTTGTAATGTAGAGGTATATTTTTAGGATTAACTCTGCATATTTGGAATAATAAATAATTATTTATAGATCCGCGTTATTGTAATGTAGAAGTATTTCAATAGTATTTTAACATTATCACGAAAAATGTAAATTTTCGATATTGGAGTATTATGGTTCATTAGAGAAGATAGGCATATTATCGCGAAGAATAAGTAATGTTAACATTATCGTGAGGTTTTCTATTTCGAAATTCTTTTTATTACCAAAATCTTATTTTATTATGAGAAGCTAAAATGTATATTTTGCATTATCTGGAATTTGTAGGTGGTAATGCTAAGAACGCACGATATGCTCCTACCAGTGTAACCGATATTGACAACTTGGAGGTTTGTTTCGTTACAATATCAAGAAGTTCCTGATCTAACACCCCAGGGAATTCGTAATGCACAGCAGAGAAGAATGCATATCATGCGTGAGAGGAGAAAAAGAGAAGAAGCTATTGGTTTGATCTTCTTTTTTCGTAATTACAATGTAGATTAATAATTATATGCCTGATTTACACTTATTATTTTTTCCGTTAAAAAAACAAACAGATCTTTTGGCTACTTCTATCAACACCGAAGAGTTTGCTTGCTTTATTGCTACTGATTCTGAGTCCGATAGGGATAATGATGAAGACTCTATGTCGGAAAGTGAGTATATGGAAAAATCGAAGCCTGGTAATAAAAAGAAAGGAAGACCCAAAAAATGTGCTAAATCCTCTGATTTTTGTGATGAGGATGCAACCGAGACCGTTGTTACTAGAACAGATTTATTAGAATCAGTTAGTCCTGGTCTGAAAGATGGAGGTTATGGTTTTCATTGGACTAATATATTTCATTTGATACATAATATATAACTATCGTGTAATTAATACTAAGCAATGAATATTATTCTAATCAGGTTATTACGACGATGGTGATCCTATATATATATATATGTGGTAATTGTAAGGCTTATATGTGGTATGGAGAAAGGTTGGGTAAACGATATCGTCGTGGGAAGTCTATATTCTCCATGTGTTTTGGTCAGGGTAAAGTCGTTCTTCCACTTCTTAAAACCCCTCCAAATTCGTTATTAGCATTGATGTATAATGATGGTGATTTACGTGATCACTTTCGTGAGTTTATCCGGGCGTATAATATGATGTTTTCTTTCACTCCTCTTGGAGGAAAAATAAATAAAGAAATCATTGACGGGAAAGGTCCTTACATTTTCCAGATGAGTGGGGAGAACTACCATTCTATAGGGGATTTGCTACCACCTCCTGGAAAAGAACCAGCCTTTTTACAGCTATATATATGATACCGCAAATGAAACATCTAACCGAATATTATTATTCTTTTGGTTTATATTTAATTTAATCATTGAGATCAATTTTAAAACATATATGTATTGTTATTAAATGTTATGTGGTTCTAACTGTTATAAGAATTTATTTTAAAAATTTTATAGGAAAACGGGACCGGCTGATAAATTGCGAGAGAAGGTTGTTGAGAAAATAAAAAATATGCTAGATAAACATAACAAACATGTGGATGCATTACGAAACGTTCGAGAAAGGTTTGATCCTAACGATGATACAAGCCGGTTAAGGATAATTTTAAAGTGTGACAGGAAAAGTGATGGAAGGACTGAGAATCTACCAGCTAATAATGAAGTTGCTGCATTGATACCTAATGATTTCGATGGTCAGGTAGATGCACGTGATATCATCATCGAGTGTAAAAAGACTTGGAATCTCAAAAGGATCAGTGAACTACATCCATTATTGTTTCCCTATGGCGAGGACGGGTTCAGACTTGGTATCGATATTGGTTTTGTAGATACCCAAGGGAGGAAAAGGTTGCATATTAGTATGAGAGAGTTTTTTGCTTACCGCATACAAGAGAGGGTTGGCGAGTCACCAATCATCCCTTTATCTGGAAGATTGTTCCAGCAGTTCTTAGTGGATGCGTACACGATGATTGAGACTAATAGACTACGTTTCATATCAATGAATCAGTCTAAACTTCGTTGCAAAAATTATGACAAGATAAAGAAAACTGTTGATGAAGGTGACACTGATCTTTCTGACAAGGGTAAACGTATTATTATACCTTCTTCTTATATTGGTGGTACAAGGTATATGGTGCAACATTATCTAGATGCGATGACTACTTGCCAGCATTTTGGTTTTCCGGATCTTTTCATAACCTTTACGTGTAATCCCAAATGGCCTGAGATTACCAGGCACCTAAAAAGGCATAACTTGAAGCAAGATGATAGGCCAGATATATGTACGCGAGTGTTCAAGATGAAACTAGATGATCTCATGCACAGACTCACCAAAGAAAATGTGTTAGGTGTCGTAAAAGCCGGTATGTTTTATTAAACTAAGTATCTTATTTCGTTTAGCAAGATAATGTCCATAACATTGCTTGATGATCATGCTAACTAATCTTTTAAAAACTACAATTTATTCGTTGCAGCGATCTACACGATTTAGTTTCAAAAACGCGGACTACCTCATGCACACATCGTTCTTTTTTTAGAGGCTGGTCACAAGCTACCAACTGGTGATGACATTGATAAGATAATATGTGCTGAGATTCCTGACAAGGATATTGATCCAGCGCTGTATGAGATAGTAGGAGATGTCATGATGCATGGACCATGTGGTGCTTTGAATAAGGATAGTGTTTGCATGGCTGAAGGAAAATGTACAAAGTATTTTCCAAAACCTTACAGTCCGATCACTAAAATAGATGATGTTGGATATCCTATATACAGGCGACGTAATGACAAGAAAGTTATCGTTAAAAAGGGTATTGAATGTGATAATGGATTTGTGGTTCCTTGTAATAGGAGCCTCACACTGCTTTATAGGGCTCATATCAACGTCGAATGGTGTGTACAATCTCGATCAGTAAAGTATCTATTCACATATATTCATAAAGGTGCTGACTACATTCGTGCAACTATCAAGAATGATGATAAAGAAAACGAGATTAAGAAACACTTCAACTGTAGGTATGTAAACATTTTGTTCACATATTTTATATCTTTGAAATTCCAATCTTCCATTATTTAATAATGTCTTTCTATATAGGTATGTAGCACCTTCGGAGTCTATGTGGAGAATTTTTGGTAATCACACTCACCATCGCACGGTTTCAGTAGTTAAACTACCCTTTCATTTACCGAACCAGCAAATGGTCATATACAACGAGGATGATCCAGGTGATGAGGTTATTAATCGTGTCTCAGTTGGTACGTCAAAATTCATTGCTTGGATGGAGTGCAACGATAAGTATGAACTGGCGAGGACGTTAACTTATGCGCAACTTCCTACGAGATTTGTGTGGAATAACCCAAACAGGATATGGACGCCACGATCAAGGAGAGTTGCTCTTGGTAGAATCACATATGTACCCATTGGGGCATGTGAAGCGTATTATTTAAGGCTTCTGCTTAATTTAGTCAAAGGACCACGTAGTTTTGATGATATAAAAACGGTCAACAAAGTTCTACATTCTTCGTTCAAAGACGCTTGCTATGCGTATGGATTATTGAATGATGACAAAGAATATATTGAGGCCATCAATGAGGGCAGATTGTGGCTTTCTGTCAATTATCTCCGTCTTCTTTTTGTGATCCTGCTCACTACTCAAAGTATATCCATTCCTTCTAGAGTTTGGGATGCTACATGGCAGGTATTATCAGATGACATCATATATAATTACAGAAAGGCTGCCAGGGATCAAAGTAAGTCGTATAGTTATTGTTTGCGTTGTTGTTATTATATATCTTTAAGATATTGATAGCTAATTTATCTTTTGTAATTTTTTTGAAATTGTGTAGCTGTTAGTCTATCTCAGGAGCAAGTTAAAGACTTTACTCTGGTCGAAATAGAACTTCTTTTACGTGTAAGTGGGAGATCCTTAAAAGAATTCACACATATGCCGTTTCCTGAAGATATTATTCTGGAGTCACGTGATAATCCTCTTATTCGGGATGAGAGGAATTACAATCGCGAAAATTTTAGAGTAAGAAACGAGCAGATTTTAGCCACTGTAACCAGCGAACAGAGAAGTGTTTATGATGAGATACTAGAAGCAGTAAATAAGAACAAAGGAGGTATGTTCTTTGTTTATGGTTCTGGAGGTACTGGTAAAACTTATTTGTGGAGTCTATTAGGATCTGCTCTATGTTCCCAAGGTGATGTTGTTCTTAAGGTTGCATCGAGCGGGATTGATGCGTTGTTATTAGAAGGAGGCCGAACTGCGCATTCAAGATTTGCAATCCCTATTGTGGTTAATAAGTTTACCTTATGTTAAATCAAGAAGGAGTTGAATCTTGCCGACCTGATAAGGATTGCTGAACTCATTATATGGGACGAGGCGTTGATGATGAGTAAAGACTGTTTTGAGACTCTAGATAGAACGATGCGTAATATATTAGAAGTTGATAAGCCCTTTGGTGACAAGGTAATTGTTTTAGGAGGGGATTTTAGGCAAATATTGCCAGTGATTCCAAATGCCGGGAAGACAGAGATACTTATGGCCACTTTGAATTCGTCACCTCTATGGTACAAATGTAGAGTGTTGAGACTTACACAGAACATGCGACTTATAGCTGGAGATAATAGCCGGGCGATGCTTGAACGAGCTGCCTTTACAAAGTGGATCTTAGACATTGAAGTGGTGAAGCCGTGATTGATATTCCTGATGATCTGTTGATTAAAGACTGTAAAGATCCTATAAAAACGATCGTCAAAGAAATTTATGGGAGTTCGTTTTCGAAAGAGACTGATCCTAAATTTTTCCAAGACCGTGTCATACTGAGTCCAAGAAACGATGATGTAGATACGATAAATGATTACATGCTTTCAAAGTTGTCGGTTATGTTTATTTTGTTTTAATTTCTCTTAGCTTATTTGTTTATATTTATATAATACAACGATTGTTTTGTATATAACAGGTGTTGAAAGGACCTATCTTAGTTGTGATAGCATTGATACGACTGAAGAAGTTGTCAATTACAATGATGCATCTGAAGTACCCTCAGAGAGTGTAGCCAGTAAGAATAAAGGTGTTTCCAACAATATGATTTATACCGAGGAGTTTTTAAATAGTATCAAGATGTCTGGTTTCCCTAATCATGTCCTGAAGTTGAGAGAGGGTACTCCTGTAATGCTTCTAAGAAATATCGACCCTAAGAATAGGTTGTGTAATGGCACAAGACTCATCATTACTAAGATGGCTAATTATGTTCTCTAGGCTCAGATAATAACAGGTAGCAAGGTTGGTGAAAAAGTACTGATTCCTAGGATATTCCTCTCTCCTTCGGAGATGAAACTTCCTTTCAGGATGAGACGTAAGCAGTTTCCTATCACATTAGCTTTTGCAATGACTATAAACAAAAGCCAAGGACAGACACTCGAAAAGCTTGGTTTGTATCTTCCAAGACCGGTTTTTACTCATGGGCAACTCTATGTCGCTGTATCGAGGGTTACATCCAGAGAAGGTTTGAAGATATTGATCACCGATAAAGACAACAAACCACAAAACAAAACATTGAATGTCGTCTACAAGGAGGTTTTTGACAAGATATGATATTTCTTTTTACTGTGTTTTGTTTTGTGATTTGTTGTCTCTATGTATCTCGAAATATGTTAGTTGTTTTTATTATATAAGACCATTACGTTCGGTTTTATAGTTTTTAATAGATTTGATGTTTTTTGATTTTTCACTAAGTTGGATCTGATGTATTAATGGTTTGATCTCTGACGTTTAACTGTAGTCGGATATTCCAATGACAAACTCAATTTGATAACATATTTTAACGAAACTTGAATTGTAGCACATTATTGGGCATCTATTGACATTTCATATGATGAACATTGTCACGTAGTTGTAAATATCGAGAATGCTTCAAAACCAAATTATCATGTTATCGAAATAAACTTAATAGTTTTTAGAAAATAAAACCAAGTACATATTGTCTTTAAAGTGGTCATTGCAAACAGGACAAAAAAAAAACATGAAATTGATTTGAAACTGATATGGTTCTTGATTAAACTCCAGACCTCCTCTTTATACGTTCCTTCTCCTCTCCCTTTAAACACAGACACAAACAATCCAATTTAGATTTTTGTAAAATTATATAGCTTTAAACTAACTCAATATTATATGTAAACATGAATTGTTTCTACAACATAGAGTTCAATGGGCAATCAATAACAAAATATAATGACTCAATAACATAGATTTTAGACAACTTTTCATTATTAATCTAAATATATTTCTGATTACGTACCCATTCGGCCGTATCCATGTGTCAAATTTCTGTCTCCACAAAACCGCAACGCATGCACTTCAACCCTATCTCCAGATCTAGAATCAGGTCGTGTTTTCGTTTTGTGCAACTTGATTGGGATGTCTCATTAGATGTGTTGCCTTTGTCATCCTCCATAAGTAGAATATACAGATTTTACAATTCATTGTGTAAGACATGATTAAAACAAACTTTAGTGAATAGGATGTATTACCTGAGGAGTGTTCTGTTTGGCTTTCTGATTTGATGCGGTGAATAAATGTAACTGTTCCCATAATTATTCTTGCTCTATCTCGGAATCTTTTGGTGAAGGTGGTGACTTTGGTTCCACGACACCGAATCTCATTACCAATGGTGGGGGATTGATGATCAACAAGCCATTTTCATCGAATTTTTTTCGTTTGTGTTCGCCATGTTCTTATGAATTCTCTCAGAAACGATAAGGCTACTTATAAAATATTTTAAAGTTTTTTGAAAAGAAACCCTCAAGTCAGTATTTATAAGGTATGCAATAATAATCAATTTTCACATTTTTCAATTTTTTATGGGGAAGATTATGCGACTTTATGTTTGCACCTAACCGTTTGACTTTTCAGGTTTCCTGTTTCATATAATTTTAAGGAAAATTGCTCAAGTAGATACATAAAGTTATAACATATAAGTCTACATAAATGGCATTTTTGTTATGATGTTGTATGAATATATCATTTCCTAAAATATTGAAACATAAAATTGTCCACATAACATAAGCCATAGAGAGAGATCATATTATTTTATGTAAAGTGTTGCAATTTATCAAAATTTTATATTTAGTAAAATAGTATATTTACTTATTGAGATTGTGTGTATCTTTGGTGAAACTTAAAACATGGAATATATTCTCTCTGGCACGTGAAACGAAAAAATCGGTCAATATCAATATGGAAGTGTCTTGACATAAATTAGTGGATTGTTGTTGGTTTTGACAATAAGGGGCTTTAAATGGTAACTGTTCAAATTTTTTCTTTTAAAATAATTTAAACGAAAATAAATTTATAGGAAAGAATAACTGCCTATTCAACTGCATAGTCTGTCCTTTTTATATTTAACACACTTTCTCAGTCACTTTTAGTTTTCCTCTTTATAAAACTTATTCAGAGTTCTCGATCAAAAAGAAGAAAAAAAAGTTTCTAAAATGTCTGATGTTGTCGATGTTGCATGTTTGGATACTTACAAAACAGGGTGGTTAATATCTGTCAAGGTTGTCAGGCTCTGGGAGCATTCAACATTCATCGGAAATACTATCGAGATGGTTTTGTCTGATATCAAAGTTTGTGTCTTTTTTTGAAGTTATTCTTTTATGTTCTCTGTTTATTATTCAGTGATTATTTTTGGCTTTGTTATTTTTCTAGGGTACTCGGATCGCTGCAACTATTATGCCAAACGAGTTTCCCACTCGCTGGAAAGAAATCAAACAGGGACAGTGGATTCAGATTTTCAACTTTCATGTTAAAGAAGCTACTGGATCAATGCTTACAACGATCAATAAACATCGTTTGCAATTAACTTCTGTCACTATTATCACCCCTATTCGAACGAGGTCGTACAATTTGTATCTCCATTGCTTCCGATTTTATGATATTGTGGATCGAGCCATTCCTTTTGACTATCTGATTGGTAAGAATTGCATCTTTAAATTTTTATAAGAATTAATCAAGTTTATCGGTGTGCATGATAATTTCTAAACATATATGTTAAATTTTGTAATAGATTTAAATTCAATTTATCATTTCATTTATTATCAGACGTTATGGGAACTATTGTGAGTATGGATCCACTCTGCAATGCAAGTAATGATGCTTATGAAGAGAATCTCGCTTATCTCCGATTTGAGATAGTAGATGCATGGTATTATGAATATGAATCATGTCCATTGATTTATATGTAAAAGACTGTTAACATATAAAGTTATAACCAAATATTTTAATTTTCGTATTATCTTTTCTTGTGGCAGAAGAGAAGGTCGGTTAGCATGTTACGCCCGTGGTTCTCTAGCAATAAATCTCCATGATGTATATCTGAGAAACACATGTGAATCGGTTGTCTGGGTGTTAAGGTTCTGGAAGATGACAAATGACCAAGGTATATACATATTTCCTCATATACGTCTTAAAATCTGAATGTTGAATAAAACTTTTGTCTATTGTTGTTTAGGAGTCGATAAGAAGTCTGTGGTTCTCCGATCTAATGATCTATGCTCAGATTTTTTGTACAATCCTATCGATGTAGAAGTTGATGCATTTAGAGCGACGTGAGTATTTAGAATTTTGGGGTCTATATATATTATTGTTTCAATGTTTATTAAAACGTTTTGGTAATGATTTTTTATCACTTTCGTAGGCGGAACCAACTACGGACAAGAGCATTGACTGTTTGATGTTATTTGTAGACTTCCTCTATTCTGCCTCTCTATTTACATTGTTTCTTCTTTGTGTTCTCGAACTCATTACTTAGTAATTTTATGCCTGTTTTTAAAACTAAGATCAGTGCCTTTGTTTAATATTTTCTTATTGTTTATATATTAATTTTGTGATGCATTATCAAACTATATTTTATGAATTATATGTGTTTTATATAGCTCGTATTGTTAGGTTCGATGTCAGGCTATGTCATTTTATAAGATCTATGTGGCTTCTATTATGGAAAATATTTACATTATTTTGGTATAGTCAGAGTAATTACCTAAAGTAAAAATACTATAGATCAGAATACTTGCCTAAAGTAAACATATTAGGAAATATATATACTTCGACTATTTGACACAGAAAAACGTACTGACTATCGTCATAAATTTTTAATATACTTCTAACTATAATTGTCTTTTCCAAGAACTCATAAAAAACTTTAATGATCGTGATAGTAAAGATATTCTATGATATGGACCCAATCGTGTTTAGTCTTGATGGTTTTTCAGGAAAATCGAAATCAGTAATATTTTTGTAGAGATTTAGATTCGTTTAACGTTTAGATGTTTATTTGCTTAATAATATCTGATATACCTATATCAATAATATTAAATCATGATTGATTAATGGGTCCAGTATATATACATTTTTAGCTACCTTAATAACCAAATTATATTCGGATATCGAAATAATAATAAAAAATAATCATACAATCATGAATTTCTTAATTTAACAATGATTTATCGGTATGAAAACATTAATATACACATATGTTTTGTCTTCGAATTAAAAGAAATTTTTAAATCATATAGAAAGAAGATATACATATATAGATTGTGTTTTGTTATATTTTTAAAAAATTATAAAGTTATAGATAATATGTTTTTTAGTGGTTGTGATCATATTGTATTTATATTTAATATATATGTATATATATATATATGTAAGTGATAATGGAAATCATTTTAAATGACTCGGTTCAAGTAACGGTATCTAATGAATCGTCATCATTATGCGTAATAATATTTTAAATAACTTAACGTGTATATATAGATGATCTGATAAAGACTCGATGCAACAGAACATAACTACTTTCTGATATTTTATTCTCTTTAAACATCTGACAAACATGGGTAGTTATGATTTAGTTCATGAGATGAATGGATGGAGAGATGACTGGAGGATTGTTGTTAAAGTTTTGAAAAAATGGAGTGTGAACGATCCACAGGGATTACCAGGTCTTGGCTTCATGAGAACGTTAGTTTTATTATAAACTAAACTCTTTAGTATTAAATCTCTAATTCTGTATATTTCTTTATTGTTTCTATAATTTCTATATTTTTTTCTTATATTGTAGGGATGCCGAATTCAGGCGATTGTTCACAATCAGATGTTCGAGTATTTCGAACGAGTTTGCCATGAAGGTCACTGGATTATGTTATCTCGGTTTAGTCTCAACCGATTGCTCAGTAATAATTGCGATAAGATAACTAGACACGATTTTATGATTACTCTGACTGACGACACAAAGGTCTCACGTATAATACCAATATCTAATAAGACATTCCTCAGTTTCGTACAATTTTCACAGATTATCAATAATCCTTTCGCTCATGAGTATCCTGTTGGTTAGTATAATCATATATTGTTTATTTGTTTTTTATATGTTTTTTTTTTTGAAAAATTTGCTATAGTTTTATTGATATATGTGTTTATTCAGATTTGATTGGTGTACTTGACATTGTAAGAGATCTCATACCAGTTGTGCAGACAGATGGAAAAATTGTCCTGACACTTCGTTTTCGTCTTAAAGACAATGAGTAAGCGCATTCTTT